ATTGTTAAAATGGAAACCTTAAAAATTTTATTGTTAAACAGTTTGATTACTCCTCAAATTGGGGTTGAATATTTCGTCTGACTGATTGGTCGTCAAAGGTTTGTTATGTTAAAACTGCAGAAGACTCGATGAGCGAGGCAACAGATTATTGGTGGAACGAGATCAACGAGTTCGGAATAATCGACAAAAGCTACAAATTCAGCCTTTTCATGTGTGAGATCGCCCAATGGACACAGGTACATTGCATTTGTAATCTCCTCATCGTCTTATGGAGTCGGGATTGGTGGTGACGATATCCTTCCTCGGGTCCTCGAAGGATGCCTCTATGGATACGAAGGTTCACGCTAGAGGGTTTTTTTTGTTCGCAGTGGCCTACTGCAACCGAAACTTCCGTCGAATAAATGAACGTATTAGTTAGTGGTGTTATGGGCCTCTGAACAAATACTAGGTGGTGATAGCTTCAAGACAACACCCTTTGTTGCGCATATGGCTGCATTCCTTTTACATCCTCTGATAAATACGTGCATCGGGTTTACAATGATCAGAGAAAAAATTCGCTTCAGATGGCCTGGGGGCCAACTTCGAAATTAGGCTGCGGAGTATCACATTGTCCACTGATGACACCAGGATATAACTCTACTATTTATGTGGTTTGTCACTACAGCGATGGGTATGTTAAGCAATCTGTTATAAGTCTCACATAAACATAATGACTCAGTTATAAGTAAGTTTAAAATTTAGGCTACAGCAATATATTAGTTCAGTTAACAATTATTGCTTCTTGTGATCTTATTAATATCATTCTCACCGCGTCAAATTTCGCTTCCATCATTTTTTCGATAATTTATTCAAACCTGTTATCCTCTCCAGACCACACGAACATCGATCTTCCTGACTATTATTTCAATTATTCCGACTATTGTCTCCAAAAAAATCTTGATAATAGAGCATCGCGTCAAGGAGATCTGCTTAATGTTTTGTTCAATTTACAGAGGAAATTATAAAGGAGAGCTCATCTATGATTCCGGCATTGGATGTAATGGAGATTTAGATTGTAACGCATTCCGCGGATCGAAATGTGAACCTGGAACCAATCTGTGCATTGCACCGTTAGCTATCTGATGATTTCATTATACTGAATGCATAATTCAGCGAAATAATTACGCCTTACCGTGTTGCTCCGTTCCTTGGCTGATTTACGCAGCTGAACCCAAAATTAAAAGCGGCCTTAAAAGATCCATTCGCCACTGAATAAATTCGACTGCAAATTCATTCGATTGTCGGCAGAATGGTACCGTTTCACTTGTCACGGTCGCCTGAACTTTATCAGCCAGAGACTAGACGTAAACCTCGGATAGCTTACTTCGAGGTGTTGCGATAAAATTCATGGGGGTGAAACGCATCTAGGTGACATATTTCCAGAGCTAGCCAATAGATCTGGTAACTATGACATCTTCATTTGCTCACACGTTCGTAGTGGTTATGTTTGCGCTATACTATCTGAATCACTCGCAATAACTTGGTTTTGAACAAAACTGAAACCAGGACAAACTCTATCTCAGTGGTTCTCACGTTCGGGTGCTCCATTGCCCCTTTTGATGATTTGGCAGGCCGCCATTACCCCAAAATTACCCAAAACGGGTAAAATGACTTCGTATGAGAACCGTTGTCCTAGACCGTTGTGTTGCTATTATTGCAATCGGGTATGATTGCATGAAATCGGTATTGTCTATGACTCGCGCACTTCAAACTCATTTAGACGATTTCTCATTCTTTTCGGACGTGTTCTGCTCGCTCTCATAGCTATTGCATGTGAATATCGTTCTATTGATGAGTTTTTCTCATTCACTTCGTCTAACTTCACTTGACTGTTGGAATCAATTTTTCATTCAGTAGCACATTCTATTTACTGGATACGTTGACGAGTTTTGGCAGCCGAAATCAACAATCCGACAATGAAATTATATTGCTCAACAACGTTCGACAGTCAAATGATCAATTATAGAGTGTTTTTGATAGAATGAGAATTTGACTTGAATTGTTGAGTGAAATGAATGAGAAATTAGCGGAAGAGAACACTTTTGGTGATAAAAGCTATGAGAGCGATTGTAACAGCTCGGAAAAGAATGAAAATCCTGTTAAAACGAACGAAAACCCTGTTAGGTCCGGAAAAGAATGAAAATTTTGTTAAAACGAATGAAAACCCTGTTAGGCCCGGACAAGCTAACGATAGTGTTAGGCCAGGACGAGCTAATGATACTCAAAAAATAGGAGAATGAAGAGTGTTGCCATCAATTAATTGCATTTACAGTGAGGCGCTTGCGAGCTAATCATCCTCACAATCAGAAAATAGGAGAGTGAAGAGTGTTGCCGTCAACTAACACCATTTACATATCCCACCGAAAAAAACACTGTCACCATGACATTCTATCATAACGTAACAACTGCACGAAATATTAATTTCCCGCCTCCTCCATTACCCCTTGACACCTCCAAGTTATCCCAAAATGTTTATTTTACCCGCTATGGGAACCATTGCTCTAAGTGATTCCGTTGCAGAGGACAACTGTTGAGTCCGCAACTTCAACCTAACCCAAATTCTCTTCCGATAGCGAATCCAAAGGAAACACCACGAGCAGATCGTGATGCTTATGAAATGATACGGCTCCTTGAACTTAAGCAGTATTCTCGTCCGAAACCGAGTCCGAAGTCAAAACGACGAAAAAATAGTAATGCTGATAAATACTTAATTTTTTCTCTAGTTATATAAATTTGTGATAAATGTTCGGTTATAAAACAACCAGAAAGTTAGTCTATCTTTAATCTCAAGAACCTGTTCAGTTAACCATTGCAGCAGATGAACAATCATCAATTTTCTATTGGTTTGATGAAGAGCTCAAGTATTCTAGTACCTGTGGCTCCTGTACAATCATTGTTACAGTTTCGGCCTCTAATAAGGCCTGTGGTGAAAGGTTTTGCTATCAATTGACGGGGAGTAATAAGCGATCGATTGGCTTGTATTTTCCAACCAATCTATAAGCGAATGAAATGTTGAGGAATACAGACGCGTATGAGAATAAATGATGGAAGCATCACAAAAAAATTGATTGATAACATTTGCAGAATGTCGATCGAAAGTGATGACCGGCAAACTGCGTAAATATGTCACGGAAACGCATAACGACCTCAGATGGAAAACCGCTAAAGGGAAAATACAAAATCTGCCAAAAGCAAGCAACATGTATTCATTGGTGAATTTATTCGAAGTTGCTTATTCAGTTGATGATTTACTCACTCGAGGAATTTATTTTTTCATTCAGTTGAGTGTCCGTCTATTTAGTCACATATTTCGGCATTTCTCGGGAACACAGCCTTTCGAAGCAATCGCAGTGTTGATAGGATCGTGCAGATCATCACTCTGATATTTCCATACCATTTCGTTTGCTCTCAGTTACCATCAGCAAAATAGTCACAGTAATTTGTCTCAAGTCGATACTGTCAGGCTAACTGCAACGTCGTATTTGAGGTGACAGAAAATCTGCGGAATTACACTGAGTGTGACACGCGTACATCGCTCACTCTGATTATTTATTCTATAGTTTCATAAAGAAACTCAACTTGATGCCACTAAAATGTTCGAATATTATAGACCTATGACTGCAGTCTAGAGGCTCAAGCCGAACAGTACGCTAATCGATGTGATATTCAGACTCCGCGGCCCGATGGCATCCAATATAATGTCGGCAATAGAACTAAAAGCGTTTGTAAGTAGTTTTTGGCAAATTCTTTTCAATCGTTGAGTGACTGTTCATTCACCATTATCAACTGTTTTCGAACTCCAGAACCAACCACTTTTCTTATATATTCTTTCATTGGCTTATTTGTGCCGAATTAGACGAAACAATCGCTCGCACTTTGCTGGTTTTTATGGTTGTAAGAGAACTCAAGAACTTCTGTTTTTAAAAGCATTTAAGTGAATCGAAGTTTTCGTCAGAATGCAAGCGAATGTGTGAAAAAAAAGAAAAACCGTCTAGTCATGTTGTAAGACGATTTTGTTTGTCCCCTAAACAACGCATGTGTCACAAGCGGTTTCTTCAGTTGCCGCTATCAGAAAGACACTGCGAAAATGGGCGAAACCAATTAAAGAAGGTAAAAAGTGGCG